ACGAAAACCCTGGGCTCCTATATAGGATCGTCAGTTAGAGAGAAGACTAACACGTAATTCGCGAAGATTCCCCCTTAGGCTAAATATATTGTGCGTGGTGCATCAAGATCGGACTCAAGCGATAGAGCCATAAGCTCGAAAATTGGCGCGCTGTCCGGAGAGAAACAAATACGATGGTACTTTATAATAGTTTATATGTGTATTTATATATTAACGCTCACACGTGACCGCAGGCCTCAATTTCGTGGAAGTAATCATTCTTTCACCTGCCAGTTAAGAAAAATTTTTCTAGAAATCTTCTCTCTATGTTACGAAATCGCATTTTTTTGTTTTTAGAATATTTTGTACGGAAGCAAAAAATGATCATTATATATATACCTTTCATCAAAATCAACAGTAGATATATTTTTTAAAAGCCCTTTAAAATAATATACTATTTTTCTCAAAAAAAATAGTTTACCAAATATAATGTGTTATTTCTAATTTTTTATAACAGGAAGTTGTTATTATTCTACTTTTTTTTCTCAATTATATTTTACCATCAATTTAGTTCATTTATACTTTTTTAAAAAACATTTTTTATAAATTATTATTTTTTCCATTTTTATGTCTCTAATTGATATAATTTACAAATTTAAATATTAACGATGAGTTGTATAGGCAGGAAAAAAAAGAGGTCGTAAAGTCAGTCAAAAAAAAAAAAATTTTCGAGTTTTTACTAAATGAATAGGCTATTAAAAACCAAGTTGGGTAATTTTTCCCAACTGGGACTTTTTCATATTATATCGAAAAATCGAAAGGGAACAACGTCGTTAAGAGTCTTCTTTTCTTCTTTATTGGCCATATAGTTGAAGTATTTTAACACTTGTTCTTTCACCGAAATTAATTTATTTCGTCTCTTTATTTCTCATTACCATTATAAAAAGATAGGTTTCTCATTATATCATCAAGACGAGAGAAATTATTACTTTATTATGGATCAATAAAAATTATGGTTTTTGATTTTTTTTTTTTAGAGGAGAAAAAAAAACATGAAATATATTTTGATGGACACTAAGCAGTCAATAGGTCATCGACACCTTTTATTCTCCTTTCATCGATTCAAGATCCCCTCATGTTCATCCTACGGGATGTTTGGCTCACACCACTCGGATAATCCGGCTTACAATTCGACTCAACACTCTTGCGGACTTGAATGAGAGTGAAAGAGAAAGAGAGATTGGCATTTATCGCGTGCGAATGTGTTTGTCTTCTCTCTCTCTCTCTCGAAAATTCAAAGTGCCTTGGCAAACAGTAGGCAGATGCGCCCAGAAAATCCCTCAGAACATCAAAGACATCTTCTTCCTTGCCTCTAAACGGAACTTTTGTCATGCGTGTCATCTCCATCTAATGTGGACACGTCTTTTGAGAATAAAATTCTCTAAAGAAAAATTCACATGTCTCAGAAACCACAATTTTTTTTTTCATTCAATTTTTAATTCGCGATTATTTTCTCAGCGGAAAAAAAATTGTAGAAAAAGTAGGAAAATTTTTTTTTTAGATATTTAGAAATATTTGAATTGATTTGAAAAAAATATTTAAATATTAAAAAATTTTGAATTAATATTAAAAAATAGAAGTGTAACACTTTTTTTCATTACAGTCAGGAGAGAGAGAATTGGTGTAAAACAAGTAGAAAAATCTCGAGGATTCTGAGGGATGGAGGACACAATGAACATTAAAAGGTGTCACGGTTGTTATATGAAGTGGAGAAAAAAAAGAAAAAAAAAAACTATGTAACTTTAGGCCCATTTCACTCCCACCCTCTCACACTCTTGGTTTTGGACAGAATTCCAAAAATCCTATTATCGCCTCTTTCAATGGCAATTGGGACTTGTTGCCTAGAGATGGGCATCTCTCTCTCTCGCCATATTTATTATACCGTCTTTTTCTCCATTGTCTCGCTCAGCATGCTCAGACGACACGTTTATAGCGCCTAATTACGGTAATTGGCCTCCACCGATACCGACACCGAGGATACCGACCGATTAGTACGCTTTCAGAAATCGAAACGCCTATTAAACTGTCCTTACGTTGTCGAAAGTCGCTAAACCTTTTTATTAGTTCCTATACTATAAAACTTAACTACCATTATATTATTTTCATTTAAAAAAAAATTGTCATATTTTCAAATTAGAATATCAATATTAATTTTTTGAAAATCAGTATGAGAGAAATCTTTTATTTGAGTCAAAAAATATATTTTTCTCATTCTAATAAATTTTCATTCAAAGCCAAATAAATATTTACAATAAATTAATATTTATTTGGCTTTTATATCTTTTCTCTGGGAAAAATTTGATATTTCGAAGTAATTAGTATTAATAAAAATTATTTCCAATAATTTCCATTTATAATTAGATATTTATATAACCAATTTATAATTTTTTAATGTTCACAATTTAAATATTTATATTTTATATTTATATATATGTAAATTAGTGTTGGTATTCTAATTTGATAATTGATTTTGTTTTTTAATTTGAAAAAATAGAGGTATTTATAGAATTGGAAAGTTTTGAATGAATGAAGTGCATAATTACAATACAGTTTTTTTTTTAGAAGTGTTGATTCACAAGAGTGAATATTTCACTGGCACACGACCTAACACCCTGGATAGTCACTTGTAAAGCACGATGTAACGATATTAGACGAGTCTAGGAGAACGTATGCTTATGCACGTTTTGCGGATGTACTTCTCAAGTCTTGAGCGCTTCTTCATGTCTTGAGATTGTATACTCATAACTCCGAAAATTTTTTCCTGAATCGAAATTCTCAGTCTCAACTCTAAATTACATCATTTAAAAAAAACTTTTTAAATTTCTTTTTATAAAATTATTAATTATAATTTTGTAAAAATATATTAAGAAAATTAATTAACTAAATTTAATAATTTTATAAATTGATTACTTTTTTTTTTTAACTTTATAATATAATTTTATAATTCGAGAAATATTACAAATGCGATGAAACTTTGAAATTTTATTTATCAGTTACAGTGAAGTCTCGATTATAGTGCTCGACATGTAAAAATAATAATTATTGAAATTTGACTGTAACGAATATTTAATTCGTAGAATTAAATCCAGAATTATTTTCATCAAAATTTGAATTTAAAATTTTTGTTCAATAACGAACAAAAAAAAAATTAAAAAGAACATTTTCACCAGCATATTTCGTAAAAATATATTTTTAAATTAACATTCCATCATTTGAAAACAAATTCTCTTAGAAAGGAATTATTTTTTTTTTTTTTTAAAAGGTAAAGAAAAAAGTAAATTGAAGAAAAAATTAAATTTTATTAATCGAAAATTGTTTATCAATTTTAAAATCTTATATTAATGATCCCAAAGGAATTTCTCATCCTTGTTAATTATTATTATTATTATTATATTTTGTATATTTATATTATATAATATATTTTTATGTCCTTGAGTGGATAAAAATGTTCATCAATAATATAACAAGAGTGTTAGACTCGTGATTTTTCTTCACGCGATTCCTGGAATCACTGCGTGAATATAAGCGCTGAGTTCGGCGCCTTTTGCGGCATCCTTTTGACAAATAAAATAATTAGCCCATACCACTTACATATCGTCGCGGCGAAAGTTGTACATTGATTCTTTACACAAGGTGGTCTCGTTTGATTCCAGTCAAAGTCAAATGCATTGAACCTTGACAATAATATCGTCCTACCAATTTTATTATCTTGTTAGGCGTCTGTAGCCCGAATTGGGAGATCCTTATATTCTTTTTTTTTCATATATATATCTCTCCCCTTAGCCGACAATAATTAGTGCGAGAATAAACTTAAAGTTCATTTACTCTGGAGAAAAAATTTTTTTTATCACTTCAATTTAAAATGACATTTTTTTAATGAAAATGCTGGTAAAATGTTTTTTTTTATAAAATATTTATAATAATTACAACAAAGCAGTGAAATTTTTTTTTATAATTTTTAATAATTAAAATCTAATTTTTCTTTTGTTCCTTTAAGAATATGTAGTAATTGTTTTAAGTGTATTTTGATGTAGTTAATAATATAAAAATGTGGAATGCCTGCAATTTCGTTTGAGAGGCGCTCTGTCGGACAAAATGGCCGAGCTATTCCCAAGAACACGATCTGGTTTTTATTTCATATAGCTTTAACCGCGGGTACGAGCTGCTCTTTGAGTGACAAGACGTGTGATTGACTCGTGCACGTTTCTATTTCAGTCAACCTTGCATTTTTCGAGATATTCAGAGAGTAATTTGAAAAAAAATCAGCGATTTTGTTAAATAAAAAAAAATATTTTTCCTATCTCAAAAATTTAATGAATTATATAAAGAATACATTTTTTTTTTGTACAAAAATCGTTCCTTTTTTTTTTTACAATTAACTCTCAGAAAATTACTAACTATTTTCCTTTCAGGCTGATGACATAAATATATATATATATTTGACAAACAAAACATTTTTTTTTCATAAATAGATTCTAAGTCTAATATTTATTTAATATTGAAAATTTTTGGAAGTTTGACTCTAATTGAAATGTAAATGTTGATCGGGGGTCTAGGCAGATGTTTCCTCAGATGAAGTTCCGAGTTTCCGGTCTTGATGCCAAGGCAAAATATATTCTACTATTGGACATCGTGGCTGCTGATGATTACAGATACAAGTTCCACAACAGGTAGAATTTGGGGATCAAACGATTTTCGAAAAGCTCCGTTTGATGATTCATTTTTTTTTGCGCTTTTATTTTCTATATGAAAAATTAGTTTAAAGTAGTTTACGAATCTAAATTTTTATTCAAGGAAAAAAAGAGTAATTTTCAAATCGAGCTTTTTTGGTATATATGCAATTTGAATATAAAAACAAAAAAAAAATGCTCCTCGTCCCACTTTTTTTTAAAAAAATTTTGTTCAGTGGACGCAAAAAATAGTACTAAAGGTTTGCTTTTGCGATTGCAAATTGTTCGCAGACGCATGTTTCCTCCGTTTAAAGTGAGGGTGTCCGGATTAGACGCGAAGACTAAATACATACTTCTAATGGACATCGTGGCATCTGACGAGTACCGATATAAATTTCACAACAGGTGATTATCGTTTGCGAAAAAAAGAAAATCGATTAAGACTCAATCAAAAGATTTTTCATTATCGGGATTATTTTCAAATCATTTTACAAAATTTTATTTCCTTTAAAAATTTTTTTTTTTTGACAATTGTAAATTTTTTAATTATTTACAAAATAATTTTTTTACAATTCTCGTTTTTTAAAAATTCTTTAGTTGTGCCTTGATCGGTTTTTCTTACAGTTGCTTTGTAAAATTCTTAATTAAAAACGCTAATTGAACTGTGTGAAGCGTGCGCTGCGAACAATTCCTCATACTGGTCGAAATCATTTTTTTTTTTTTTTACCAAAAAATAATTTATAGGACAAAAGGGAATATTAAAATATAATGTGGCTTTTTTAAACTATATGGGAATTGCCACAAATTATAAATTGTTTTTCATTAATTTTAAATTTACTTCAGGTTAATACAAGAATCTTTTTTTAATTTTACACAAATATGGTAATTTTTCATGAGTAATAAATTTTTGTTCTATTACTCTAATTATTTACTCATTAAGGGAATTTATCAGTGTTTGACTTTGAAAATTAGATAAAAATTCCAGTTTCTATGATAGTAAAATTTTTCAATAAATATATTAAGTTTTAAATAATAATTAGAAATGTCAGTGATTAAAAATTCTCAATTCAAAAGTGAAAATGTAAAAATTTAAACAAAAAAAAAAATATGTACCATGAAATAAAAATTCGATTGAAATTTTAATTTTTCGAAAAAGATACAAAAATTTTTAAATGAAATATAAAAATACAAAAATTTAATATAAAAATTAAAATATAAAAATAAAAAAGGCAAATTAAATAAATAGAAAAATGGTAATTATTTTTATGTGTAAAAAAAACGATAAATTTTGCAGAAGATCCGTTATATGGGAGAGGGCTAAATTTTTTTTTTTTTTCATTTTTTTTGGGTAAATTATTTCGACTTGTATGGGGGATCGCAAGCTTTCGCATTCGCCAAACGGCTCTGAGATGTTCATCATCAGGTCACGAGAAAAGGCGGATGTTTGTTATCTTAACTAGATATGAAAAAAAAAAAAAAAAAAAAACTTCCGTGCATTGCATTTGGGAACCAATTCTGCCGTTTCTTAAAGTTTCTTGGGAAACGAACATCTCAGACCAAGTTGAAAATCAACACCGCAGACAATGGGAAGGCAGACCCTGCAATGAATTATTCCCTCAAACTCTGACCGCACGTTCTTTATAACTCGTTTTGTGTTTGGTTTTCAACTTTATAATCACTTAGTTCCCATTATCATGACAAGAAAATGATATAATCAACGTCACGTGCGCGAGACACATTTTCAAGACAATAATAATAAATTTATAAAAACAATCAGAAAATTAAAAACATTTTTATATATTATAATTTGTTGTAAAAGTTGCTATTACTTTTTCTAATCAAATTCGTTTTTTAGAGTTTATTATTTTAATTTCTAATTTTGATTGTAGAATTGTCATTTTGAAAAATTAAAATTTAATTTATTTGCCAGAGTCTGCCTTCAATATTAATCCATGAGGAAACAAAAGTTTTTTTAAAGTTTAATTTTTCTGTTATTAAATAAATTTTTAGTTATTTTTTTTTTGCTATTCAAATATAGTTTTACCTAAATAATTATTTTCGATAGTAATAATTATAAAATAATTTCGACACTAACAATTTTTTACTATTGTAAATGTAAATTAAAAAACTTTTTTGTTTCCTATTCTGCGGGTGTTTAATCCGGAGCATATTTAATAATAATTTTTCAATTATTTTATGCTTTTAAATTAAAATCTAATTTCTTTTTTTTTCTACTTTCGAGCAGTAGATGGATGGTTGCTGGCAAAGCGGATCCGGAAATGCCGAAGAGAATGTATATTCATCCGGATTCACCGAGCAGCGGTGAACAGTGGATGCAGAAGGTCGTGAGTTTTCACAAACTTAAACTCACAAACAACATCAGTGATAAGCACGGCTTTGTAAGTACTGTACGTAACGCCAACCAAACAAATTACTTAATAGTTTTTAAGTTATACATATAAATTTAGCATAGAAGAGCTTTGCCGAATATTAATCTTTTTTTATTCTCACGCTGGCTTTTTAATGTGACTCACTCTAAAATAGACCACCAACAATATTCCTCGAATTTTACTCGAGATGAGGGTCTAATTAACTTTCTTATCCCATGAGAGAGTTTTTTTTTTTTTATTGATTTGGTTCTTGAAAAAAATTGCCTTTTTTCTATTTATAGGGTAAGTTTTTGAAATATCGAAAATTTATTAGAAATTGAGAATTTTAATTAAGATTAAATTGTGGTTTTTAGATAGAGTGAAAAGGATATACAAAGAAGATAAATGGTGGTAATTTTTTTGAAGATTGGTGAACTGTCAAAAGTCTTGGTAATCCCAATGAGATTGGAAAAGATTTGTTCATTATAAAAGCAAGATAGAACAATTGTGACTATATCGGATTTTCTGAGGGATTCTCACCAGCGAGTAATTCTAGGATTAAGTTATCGCGACGGATTTCGCCGTCAAGTACAGAGAAACCCCTCTTGGTCTATTAGCTCCTTGGTTCCTTTCTTGTCACCACCTTCATCTCTCGAGGGTCCAGTCGTTTTCTCTCTCTCTGTCTTTAAACGGGGAAAGCTCTTTTTTTCCTCTTCCTCTTCCTTACTCGTTTTTTCTTCCAGAATTTTTTTTTTTTTTTTTTTTTTTTATTTGCGGCAGAGTCGGCAAGGCTTTGAAGGATCCTGCATCGCTGGCTCGTGAAATCTAGTCCTTCTTAACCATCCCGATGTCAATGGCTGCTGCTATGCAGTGCGTGGCAGCCGACCTTTGTTAGGCCACTCTTTTTTTCTATCCTCTGTCTTTCTCTTTCCTTCTTTCTTCTCAGCATCTCTCCCCCCATCTCTGTATCTCCATCTTTTCGTTTTTCAGTCTCCGTCTTTCTCTGTTGCTCTCGCGTCCTGCGAAACGGTAACACAAATGCGCCGAATGGTTCACCTACATTATGGTCGAGCAGGAGGCGCGCTTCTGCCTTTAAGGACTCTTATAAACCGGCCTTCGCGTCTCAGTCTCGCTCGATCCAGTTTGTGCACAAACCCATGAAAATGTCCCGGAGTGCTACCCAAAAAACCCTTTGCGGCTAATAAGCGACGGTTTTCACCTGGTACTCATCGGGATAAAGAGAGCAAAAAAAAAAAAAAAATAAAGCATCTTTCCCCCCCACGTGCAGCAGCACTCTAAATGTTCAAAATAAAATTCATCTAAAGAGAAATCCTTTTCTATATAGGGAACTAATATATAGAAAATATTTACTCCTTTTTTTTTATTTTTAAAGGGGAAAATTTACTCTTGACTTTGCTTTTTTTCCATGTCTGGAGAATTCTATTTCGTCTGATGATGGCAATTAAGAAGGATCTTTTGAATATATTTTTTCCACTGGAATATATAATCCTCACTCAAAAAACATTGACCTACAAAAATAAAAACGTGATTCTTCAGGGAAACAAGATTTTCCACTTTTTGACACGTTAATTTTGTTATTGATTATACAAAGGGGGGAAAAACCCGAAGATGGTTTTTATTTTTTTTTTTTTTCGAGGGTAAATTAGCGCAAACATCGAATACTTGACTCTAATTCCAAAGCTCTTGAAGAAGAAAAAGAAGAGTCCTCTTTGGGAAAAGTCCGGGTAGCAAACAAAAATAAGACTCTATTAGAATCCTTCGAATGCACTTTACAGTGAGCCTTAAGCTGTAGAATACACAGGCAAACACACACACACATACATTGACGGGGTCGAGGTCTGGTAAACACCGAGGACAAGACAGAAGAGAGAAAAAGAGAGAGAAACTCTCTTAGTTCGAAAAGGGAGGATAAGATGCTGCGAATGGACAGGAGCGCATAGTTGGCGAAATATACAGCTGCTCCCGTTTTAATTCCTATATACCTTTTTCTTGAGACTTTTTATAGGCGCCACTTCTCTTCCTTATTTTTATTAAATTTCCTCTCTCACAAACTTATTGTTTTGTTAACGAAAACGAATTTTTTACTTTGCTGAATTATTGAATCTATTTTTATCCGAATTTGCATTTCATAGAATTATTTAACCGAATTTTCATATGGCGAATTTTTTTTTTGGACAGAATCTCTATTGGAATTTCGTTTCTAAATTTGTTTTATCCGAATCTTCATTTAACCAAATTTTTATTTAGCTAGATTTTTAATCCAAATTAATAGAATTTTTATTCAACCGAGATTTTATTTGGCAAATTCTTTAGTTCTTCGAATTTTCCTTTGACAGAATCTCTATTGGAATTTTGTTTCTAAATTTGTTTTAGCCGAATCTTTATTTAACCGAATTTTTATTAAGCTGGATTTTTAATCCAAATTTCAAAGTAATAGAATTTTTATTTAACCGAGACTTTATGTGGCGAATTTTTTAGTTCTTCGAATTTTCCTTTGACGAATTTTTTTTTCGAATTTTCCCTTCTCTATTGGAATTTTCTTTCCAAATTTGTTTAAGCCGAATCTTCATTTAACCGAATTTTTATTTAGCTGGATTTTTAATCCAAATTTCAAAGTAATAGAATTTTTATTTAACCGAGACTTTATGTGGCGAATTTTTTAGTTCTTCGAATTTTCCTTTGACGATTTTTTTTTCGAATTTTTCCTTCTCTATTGAAATTTTCTTTCCAAATTTATTTTAGCCGAATCTTCATTTAACCGAATTTTTATTCAGCTGGATTTTTAATCAAAATTTCAAATTAATAGATTTAATCGAGATTTTATGTGACGAATTTTTTAGTTTTTCAAAAATTTTCCTTCTGGAATCTCTAATGGAATTTTCATTTAATTCAATTTTGCTTTTAGCCGAAATTCCATTTAGCTGAATTTTTTAATCTAATTTGGTTTCAATTGAATATTTTTTATAAATTCCGCAAAATAGAATATTTTAAAATTAATTTTGATTAAATAAAATTTAGTTTTTTATTAAACTGGTAAATTTGTATTTTAGATAAATTTATTAAAATTATATAAACGAAGAACTGTGGGAGAATCTGACATGAAGAAAATTCTGTTAAATTAAATCTAAATTTAAATTTCAAGCAGTTAGCAGCTTTTACTATATATATATATTAGTGTTATTTATATATATATATATATACCTAAAGCTGATTTCAATCTTAAAATCCTTTCACAACATGAGGAATAGTGTTAAATTTTTTCCGCTATACGTGTGGCAAACTTTATTATGAAATCGCGTGTTTTAGGGCGTCAAGCCATAGTAACTAGATGAGAAAACCATTTTACTTGAAAGTGAATCAAAAATAAACATTTTGCTATTTTTCAAATGTATATTTTAAAAATTGTTTTCTAAAAAATTTTTAATTTTCTTCTATAATTTTTTCATGTATGGAAAAATATTCAATATGTTCATCTACTTTAATTAATTTAATATTAAGTCTTTAGAATGGGAATAGTTATAAATTATTCAATAGTTGGTCTATGGGTCGTCGCCAATCATGTGACGATATGGACTTAAAGCGCAGTTTCAAAGTACTTTGCCCTTGTTAGAATTCAATCTTGAATTTAATACGGACACTCCACTCATTGATACTATGATAGATCTTATATATGTATATATATATATATATATCGATCGACGTGATTTTCCCCGACATTGCACGAGTCGATAAATCGCATTAATGTCGGCTTTAATCATCTCGCACCCACGATCAACTCTCCCAAATATTTACCAGGTCTCTCTCTCTCTCTCTCTCTCCCTCTTTCTCTCTGGTATACAAGGTTTAAATCACGTCCGTTTAAATCAACGTCGATGCGAATGTTTGCTATATGGGTCGCAGCACATTTCACTCATTTAATCGTTGACATTTTTTCCCAACCAGTGAGAAATTTCAATTTTTTAACTTGTTTCGTTATATACTTTTATTTCACAAATAGAAAAATCTCCTTAAAAAATTGTTTTGAAAAATTTTCTCATTTCTGGGAAAAAAAAAATTTTCGTTTTGAAAAAATTGAAAAGGTGAGAAATTGGTATATAATATTGCGTGTGAATTTTTTTTTTGGAAAAGAAAATAAAGTGATAAATTGAAGATCTCAATGCATACTTTACGGAGGTGAAAGGTTTGCCCATAAAGCCTTAAACAGCAAACAGTTTTCTGAGTAAACAAGCACGTTGAAGAATTACTGTGAAACTTTTGAAGCCTTCAGCTTCATTCGTGCTGATAATATGTACCTCCAAACTCGGTGTGTTAAAAAGGTACTCCCAGTGGCGTCGACATTCCCCGGCGACCATATATGTCTATATACTTTTTAAGACGAAATTTCGATTTTTATAAAGAAACGCGAAATCTACTTTTGGCAATAACATTTTTTGAAATAATTTTCCAAATTAATTAATTAAAATTTTTTTCTTTTATTTCTAATGTAAAAATGGAGTATAGTAACTATTTACAACTATTATCGAAATGTTACAATATCGTTACCTTATCATTGCCAATTACCATTAACTTATTGAGTGCGCACATTCCGTATGAAATTAATTTTATCGGAGACCATTTCCACGATTATCGCTCTCTGTTAATTAAAGTGGACAAATTAGAGTACCACGCTTTAAAATATAAAGTTGTTTATCGACTGAAAAAAGACAATTTCATTGATATTGTAGTTTTAAAAAGAAAATTTAAATTAACGATTTTATTTTATAAAAAAAATTTGTCAATTTTTTTCATTAATTAAATTTTGTTTACAGATTTAAATATGAAAAAAAAAGATTGGAATTCGCCGCCACTGGTTGACACCTTTAGGGATCGATTCGCGTAACGATCTCTCGAAATCGTGCGAATTTATTCGTTTCTCCTGAGGCTGCGATTTACACACGTATAGACTAAACATATATATATACATGATGATGTTCACACGTTTGCTCGAGATTGCAAAATACTCGCGTGCGTATACTTAT